AGAACGAGCGCAGGCCACTTGTGTAACAGCCGCTACACTTCTCCTTCTGCCTGATTATTCTGATCAATGATTAACAACGCCACAGTAAAGCAGCCTGCAGCGCTACGCACCACTTCTCTCATCTGCCTGCTAAAATCTAAATGAAGCCCAAAGCCTCTGATCTATTATTTTAAACAGCCACGCCATAAACTTCCACTCCTCAGGCACATCTCCTGAGCAAATATTTAAGAAAAAAAGCCACAAAACTGCTGAATAACTGAGCGATTCAACAAAAACAAGTGAAAAGTAATGCAAACTCTGGTTGAATCTGGTCAAATCTACTAAAAACATGTGAATTCAAATGAGAGATTTACTTTACGAGAAGTACCTTTTGCAGAAGTGTGTACAGGAAACTGCGACATTATATCGTCCATGTCCTGTATCTGTGGTGTGAGAAGAGCTGCTCCGTGGTGTCTTTGACGGTCAAGCTCAGATGTGCGCACTTGACTAACTGCTGATGCACAGTGTATATCAACTTCAAACCATCACATGATTTAAAGAATACATTAACAGGAAGCCTAACAATAAGACCCTTCATCTTATATCTGTGGCTATGTGAAAGCTATTTGTAGAGGCATGTATATATTCACACACAGTGCACACAACTGCATGCTCTCTGACAGTATTATGTGTCACCAGAGCACAATGAAAAAATGACAGGCATCCCAGTAAACCAGTTTGACCAGTACACAGTTCATTCCCTTCCTAATACTAGGAACTTCAGTTTAGATACTTTTCAGATACATGATGCAATAATGGCTCTCAACATCCTGAATGATGGTGAAATTGTGACCAAACCTGCACTGTCATGCTCACGTCTCAGTGGTGCAAACATCAGTTGGTGCCAATACTTGACGCAGCCAACGTCCTGCAGCCTTATTGTTGGCAGGGTCTCACTGCTGGCGTCTCATGCAGACTCAGAGATGCAGCCAGTGGCATCTGACCTCTGAATTTAAACAGGTTCCGCAAAGACCTGCATCTCCTTTCACTGTCTATTATACAGCATATCCAGGAAATGTGTTTCAGTATAACCCACTGTGGCAGCGGGGGGTGTGGTTAGGGCGCCGGCTGCTGGAGTGAAGGGAGTGGCTCGGCCGGAGGCCAGACAGCTGATCAGATAACTTGGTAACCTGGTTCTGGTCTGTCTTGCAGTAGGCTGGATCCTGGAAGGACGCAAAAGGACCCGGGCAACGTGTTTTGCGTTTGTTTGAACAATAAACCCCTGTGTTACACCCAAACCCTGTATGAGCGGACCCTGCTGAAAAAAACAGCTTAGACCAATTTAGCTGATTAGCCTAAGGCCCTGACACACCAGGCCGTATTCGGCCGTCTTCGGTTGTCTGGCGACAACGCGTTCCTTGTCGCCCAAAGTCAATTTGGTGTGTCCCGAACCCTCGGCCGTGACACGCCTTATTTGGCCTTTCACGGTCGACACATGGCCGATTCAACATGTTGAATCGGCCAAAATACGGACACAAGCTATCGGGCCAAGAAACCACTCTGATCAGCTGTTCAGCTAGCAAATGAGAAGCGAAACGGAAGTGAGGGACGTAAACAAACGATTAAAAAAGGCACAGGACAGCAGCTAAACCCCAGCAGGTGATACTTAAAGACATCAAACATAGCCCTTAAATGTCCTCTCTTACCTCCCACACATAGCAGGGACATCTCTGATATCGGCGGGAGCGTCCCCGGCTGTCCTCTGCTGAGAGCTCCGTGATTTGTTTGGTCAAGTCCGGTTTTTCATCTCATCGGTTTATTTGTCAGTATAAAGTTGCAGGATTAGTCTCAAGTACCTCAACATTGTCCTTAAGTACAGTGTCTAAGTAAATGAGATACTGTCTACTGCTGTTCATTTACCTATTGTGAGTCGCCTCGGATAAAAGCATCACATGGAAATGTAAATTTAGCAAGAAGTGGCCATTACTACATTGCTGACTCAATAAACTACACACCCGCCAGAACACTGCGATCATCAGATGCAGGTCTATTAACTGTGATTTTATAGTATGTCTGCACTTTATGTGCTCATTTCATCATTCATGTATTTTTATATTCTAAAACATGTTTTCGATGGACGAGAGTGAAAATGGAACGCACACGCTATTTGTTTCTTTATATCAGTCTGTTCTTCTTCTCTGTCTTCCGGTTGTTGCCTATTTTGAATGACGAATACACACTACCGCCGCCTGCTGGTAAGGAGAGTTATTGCCACTCACGCATGCGCAGTTCGTACGTGCTCGGCTGAAGTCTTTGCGGTGTGTTCCAGTGCGACAAACGGCCAAGACGCAGGAGAACTCGTCGATGGAACTGTCGGTGTCGGTGTCGGCGAGTTCTCTGGTGACTGCCTGGTGTGTCAGGGCCTTCATATCTACTGGCTGGTCAGGCTGGTTGACCAGCCTGACCAGCCAGTAGATATTATAGGCTGGAATGGTTGGCTGGTTTAGAGGGGTTTTGGACACTTTAGCTGGCCAGGATGGCTGGTTTAGCTGGTTTAGCTGGTTGGCAACAGGGTTGCAGCGACGGCAGAGCGAAGCTCTGCTTGTGATCGCCTCGAGCCAGCGCGAGGACCGGGCTCTCCTGCGGGAACTGCTGCAGCGTCCGGCCACCCGGGAGGCCGGTCCCGGGACCAACCCGGCCCGACCACCGCTGATTGCCCTCCAGAAGTTGACAGCAGAGGACGATCTGGAGGCATACCTGGACATTTTTTAGGGCACAGTGGCGGCGGGCGGGTGGCCGGAGGAGGAGTGGGCAGTGCGGCTACTGCCCCCTGCTATCCGGGGGTGCGCAGTTAGTTGTTTTTTTTGTCAAAAGAACCCTTGAACCCTTTTGTGGGTGATGTTTTCCTTTAAAGGAATACATCACCCACAAAAGGCTCATTTGTACATCAATTTCCAAGCCTGTTTTACGTGGAATTTGTGTAGATATCTTTATTTTTCGCACCATTTAAAACAATACCCCATTAACAATGTTTTAGCTGGCAGGGTTTCAGTGAAAATACATGTGTTTGGGAAGTGTTTTTACAGGATAAATAATACTTGGATTGTGCTAAAGGATTTGTGAGGGCGTTTAACATAATTATGTTTTTATATTGTTGTTGAAAGCAATCCCATTTCCTTCAATTCGTCAATACTTTTTTCTATTTTTGCTCATCGTTTAGGCAAGCCAGAAAAAAACTGTTGTTTTCCTAAATTTAAGATAGAAGTTAAGATAACACATGGTATGAGTATTTGCTAAACAAATTATCATTTTTTTGGTGAAGCATTCCTCAATTAAAGGATAGGTTCTTCAGTCGAATATGGTTACATTTCACCATTAACGAATTGTGTAGCTGGAAAATTGATTTATTAGCCTTGTAAATTTGAGTATATTCATGTATTTTTCATAGATTCAAACAGATCTCTTTACCTCAACATAAATACATTCATGCATCGCAGAGGAAGCCAGGTTTCTCCAGCAGTATTAAACTGGGTCTCTCAATTAAGGAAACCTGTTTTCTTATTAATTGTAAGAAATGAGGTGACTGCCAAAAGACCATTTAAAGACTAGTGCAAATGACAAAGTTACTCAAACTGCTGCTTCCCACTTTACATAACCACACATAAAACACCGTTTATAACGTAAGGGCCCTACTTCACTCAATGAGATAACAGCATGTGTCTGGCTCTGCACAGCATTCATTGCGTCTAACATGCTGGTACAAAAAGTGTGGGTGTGAGTGACAGACAGGGTGACACACAACCATTACCACCAGGCGTGGGGATTAGCCGTTTCAGTTAAACTACCCAGACTTTCTTTAGATTAACACGGCCCCATCTAATTCAAGGGCCAGTGTGAGATTAGAACCCCTGTCTGCTTCGAACCAGGGGCCCCCGGGGGACTGCCTTTGTGATGAAAAAGAATGTGGGAGGGAAGTAATAGGGGAAGTGGAGACATGGGAATAGAGAGAAGAGAGAACTGGACACAGTGGAGTTATTTCACAGGGATAAAGGCAGAAGGTGAGAACAAAAGGGTTTAACAGACAACAAGGACGGAAAGTGAGATGATGATGAAAATATACGAGCACAGACTGACGGATGGAAGAGCATTGAAAGGAAAGATGGGTTTGAGGAGCGAATGAGACACAGTAAAGAGAAAATGAGAAAAAGTGAAAAGCAGGAAGAGACTGGGGCTGGAGGAATGCATCCATTCATCACCTGTGACACACACACACACACACACACACACACACACACACACACACACACACACACACACACACACACACACACACACACACACACACACACACACACACACACACACACACACACACACACACACACACACACACACACACACACACACACACACACACACACACACACACACACACACACACACACACACACACACACACACACACACACACACACACACACACACACACACACACACACACACACACACACACACACACACACACACACACACACACACACACACACACACACACACACACCTCTATATAAAAATAGATCAGAGGCCAGCAGCTTCCTTCAGCGCCCTGCAGCAGGGAGGCGACTTCATGCTGCCCTTCACAGCATCCTCCTGCATCCCTTCTGGGCACCTCGTCTTCACTGCAGCCTGTTTTCATTACATCATCTGATTTGGTCAAGTTAAGAAAGCACTAAAAGGCTTTGAAACTCTAACCACGCTATTTAACTTGAAATGCAAACACGTGCAGCCCTTAAATTGGCTTGTGGTTGCGCTACCTCACACACATCACAAGATAAGGATCAAGTTAAGTGAAAGACTGCAACACAAATGCAGACAGGAAACCACTGTATTAAAATAGCTATATACCTATTCATTAAACACCCAGAGGTGTTTGCAGCAACAAAATAATACATACAAAAACTTCATTTAAAAGAAAGAGATTAAAGAAGGGAGGTGTTCGGGCATAAAGCAATGTTTCCTACCTCTGGAGTGTTCGATTTTCACCGCCACGCAGGGCCCCTCATCAGCGTTTTTGGTCTGGAAACAGTCAGCTTTGACTTTCCTATCTGCAACAACAAAACACACGTTTCACTATAAAAAGAAATACGAGCAGATATTTTAATACTCCCCCCCGCATCTGGGGCGGGAGCTTCGAGCTGTTTCAAGCCACCCCATGTTTTATTTAAGACAAGTACAGATTCAGTTTTAGTGCAGAGGAGATGAACATGAGAGTGGAGGAATAAAAGCAATATACCATTTCAAAGTCTCCAATAGCTGAGACTACATGCTTGACATGCGTGATGGGAGAAGAGATTCAAAAGCTCTTCTGGTAGCTGCTTTTATCGAGATCAGGGGTAGACATGTGTTTGTTTTGAGAGTGAAGAAAAGGGAGAATATCCCGCCCCTTGGAGAAAACTCTAATTAGTCTGTCTGTGATATGTAGGGCATAGTCTGTAGGGACAGCTCACACTCTTTCAACACAGCCGTTTAATATGCACATAAAAGATTAAAGAGAAAATAGCAACGGGCGTAAAAACAATGATGGGCTCACATAAACTTAGACACAAATAAAAAGACTCACACACACACACACACACACACACACACACACACACCCTTTGTTTGATTTCATATGAGATATCAAAGCTGCAGGATGATCAATGTCGACATGAAGCAACATGTGCACTCATAGAACTGCTGTAACTTACGGTCTGATAGTAGTTCCAGCATACTGTAGCTATATGTTGCTTTACATATTTTACAGACATTAAATACATTTCATTTTGATTGTCTGCAAGGGGAGCCTCTCTCCTCTCTGCATACGCATTTATGATCAAATATTAGCGGGAGAAATGTTAACAGAGGATAGAAATGTATTTCACTGGATTTTCACAATAGGTCACAATAACTGTTAGTTTCACTTTAGGTAAGGCGGCCACAGGGAAGAGCCTCAGTGAAGGTTTCAGTGGCGTAAATAGATTTGCATCAAACATAGGTTTCTATACAACTTAAATATTGTATATTAGCAAAACGTCTACAATTAGGCTTTCAACAATGAACACAATATCTGATTATTCTAACACAAAACTTGAAGTGAACTGTTCAATCACAACAGAATGCAAGAAAATGTCCTTGTTTTTTGAGAGACAATTAAGTGTGCATTTGTAACAACATTCTAGGAGTTTATTTACACACATATTGTCATTGAATTCATAGTTTCATATTCTGTTCATGTGTCACTTGTCAGTGTTTCCTTTAACTCACCAGACTAGCACTCAGCATTTATCACAGTGTCAGTTTGGATCTATCACCACAGTAGTAATAGAGTGTGGATAATGCCACGTAAAGGAAAAGTGGACAAACTCAGTATGGGGTCGTGAAACAGCCGAGAGGAGGTACAGATTTGAATGTGTGTGTGTGTATTGTGAAGGGGGGTATAATATCTTGGCTCGGGGATTAAAGGAGGGCTTTCTCCACCCACCATCTGGACTCCTCATGACAGGCCTGCCTGCTGTTCACACACACACACACACACACACACACACACACACACACACACACACACACACACACACACACACACACACACACACACACACACACACACACACACACACACACACACACACACACACACACACACACACACACACACACACACACACACACACACACACACACACACACACACACACACACACACACACACACACACACACACACACACACACACACACACACACACACACACACACACACACACACACACACACGTACGTTACAGTACAACAATTGAACCTCAGTCTGTTATATACCTTCCATATTCAGAATAAACTGACACACATAAGCAGCTTAACAATAAGCATTACATACAAATCAGACACTTCTTTACAGAGACAACCCCTTAACTCAACTTTACCCCCCTCCCGTTATCGACTATGTGACTTAAATCACCACAAGCCTATTGTTTCCTGAAGTGGGGGATGTGTTTCTATATCAACACTGAAAAACAAGCCACACACTGAGCCAGAGCATAGGTATCAACATCTTTGAAGGATATAAAGGTTAAATAAGTGGGTTTCTGAGAGGTGGGTGTGGTCGAAACCTGCTTTACTGATGATATATGATGGCAGAGTGTACTGGTCAGGCTACTGGTCTGACATTAACTTCCTCTTCCTGTCTGTTCACTTCCTGTTATTCTTATTTCATAATCCTGTGTTATAGCTTACTAAAACTCTGACCAAAGCACAAAAGGGCAACTAAAAGAAATCACATGGACATGTCAACACGCAGTGGTTAGCGAATTTAGAAAGTGATGTGAAACAAAGTTCACTACAAGGTCTAATTACTGATAATGAAACTCAGAGCTGCGTCCATTCTTGTTGTTATAATAGTTCAAAACATTTAAAAAGTGACTGACAAGAGACTGTTTCAAAAGATACCTTAAACTAGCAACCTTAACTACCAAAAGAGCCATTTTGCCCCATTTGCCGCCAAATAAAATATGTCTGGAGCCGCTAAACATATTTCATAATACAGCTTTTTAGTAATAATAATACAGTTTTATATATAGTTAAAGTGTATACAAAAACGACTGTATTGTCTCTGTGAACATATAGATAGACAATAAACAAACATTTTGAAATTATATATTGCTATTTTTACCTGCAAATGCTGTGTGCTTGTTCTGGAAGTGTCTTTCAACATCACATTTTGTGTGGTTTGCTTATTTCTCACAAGATATCAAGCATACAGGTGAGCCAGCATTGTTGGCAGTGTAAAAGCAAAGGAATCAGAATTAACTCTCCATTTCGTTTGTGACTTTTCTTTTATAGGATTTATCCATGGTTAGTTTTCAAAGGCCGGGGGTCTGAAATGTAGGATTAGAAGGACGTGACGCATATTAGCTGACAAAACCTTATTTCATTGTCACTGTATCACCTCAAACTCCAAGATAAAAGGCGTTACTTTCAAAGAATAATCCACTATGCAAGAAAAAGGGAAACTAGCTGTTATATATGTCCACGTTATTCTCTGTCAAAGCTACAGGGAGCTACGGCAGAGTGCATGTGGATGAAGAGCTTTGTGTTGGAGTCACAGTGAAATGATTGATCTTGTAAAAAAAATAATTAGAGGTTGAGAAAGCAGCATTGACTTTCTTCATTGATGTCTGTCTTTCATACCGGTTTACTGTCAGTTACAGTCAATATAAACTGCAGGTGAAGGTGAACAGGAAAGGTATTGATGCATTTCATGTCATGTCAGACATATATTGAAATCACAAGCTGCCAACTAAGAAAGTCTTACATCTGCCTTCTTTATGTCTTTGGGTTTCCTCTATTAGTACAGTGAATCAAACACGCATTAAAACAGGTGGCAAATTGCAGGAAATCCTCCAACAATGGCAGTTAAGAGAAATAGAAAATCTAATTTGGCAGTTACACTCACAGCAATCCAATCAGCTCTCCAAATGAACACTTTGACTTCTCCGGTACTGAAGAAAATGTGTTGCCTTCACTCTGATACCAAAATAAATGTGTTATTTATATAAATCTGTAAAGAAAGGGGGCTCAGTGGCGACTTCTCCTTGACATCTAAAGGACAGTTAATGAGCTGTGACATTAACACAACATTCAGTAGTGTGTGTGTATACATGTACGCGGTTTCTCACAAAGTGTTGTTATCTACGCTTTTATCACACTAGGATCTCTCATCTGTTGACAGCAGCCTTGTCTCTGTTTACATTTAGCCTTTCTATAGCAACAAGAAGAGAGACTGCGAGTCCAACACCAAATAAGCAATGATCCGAGTCTGACCTTCTGTCAACACATGAAATCAAATCTGTATCCCATTACTGTCGCTGCCAGTGTTCGCTCTGTTCTTCAACACGTCTAGCCGCTTTGTTATTCACATTGCGACGTGTTTTATTTTACGTATGCCCTGTATTTAGTGGAACCACATGCCAGCCGGGGCAGAAATATAAGAATACTCTACAATAGAAGTATTCAACTGCAAGTGCATAGAGAAAAACAAGACACAAATATGCACTGGTCCATTTTGGGGATCCTGGACTATTTTATAACAAGTCTTTTTTCAGTCTAGTAGAAATAAAACATTGTGTTCTTATGTCTGCTAAATTCACCACGAGTGCGTCATGCACAAATTAGCATTAGATAATGCACTATTGCCCAGCACGGTAGGGATATTACACAACTTATCTTCATTACATTACATTTCATTTAGCTGACGCTTTTATCCAAAGCGACTTACAAAATCTTCAAAGGCTTTTATCGTTATATTCTTTTCCTTTTTATACTCTGGGCAAGAAATCTCGCACTTACAAGCAATTACCCTTCTAATTGAATTTGTTTCTTTTATTCTTTTACATAGGGGTTTATTCATATATCATTCATAGCGTGCTTTATATAACACACGATTCCCCCAAAAATATGAAAAGCTTTTTTTCATTATTTTCTGAATTTATACAAAGGGATTCCTTTCAAACATCTAAAATCTCTCCCCAAAAGCATTGACCTTAGTATGTTAACACAATGAAACAATAACTTTTCAACACGGCTTTGTCAATACCAGATTTATGTCCAAAAATGAACTCACTTCTAAACCTATTCAATCAGATAATGTGCCTTATTTTCATATATAAACATCACATTTCATAAAGCTTGAAATCCCCCCCAAAAATGTCTTAATGTAAGTTATCAACTGAGGAAGTGCCATTATAATATCTATGAGTTAATTATACAACCCTTTCCCTTGTACCTATCTATCAAAACACATCAAGCTGCCTTATTACCATGATAATGGGCATTAAAACGTTGCTGTACTTGTCCCTACACACAGTCCACACCTTAAACGTATCTGCAATACAATCTTTATGTTATTCACCTTCCTATAAGTCGTGAGTAATTATGAACATAGTTTCCCCACGACAGAACATCTGCATGCTTGAAATATTTTATTTAAGGTGACTGCACCCACGCAGATGCATCCACTCGTCTGGAAGCACCTGTATGTTAGTTTCTGCTTTAAAGCCAGGCTTCTTCCATTT